CTAGCTATCTTAGTTCCTTTCAAGCTTTCTGATGAAACCCTTTCTTACCAAGGAAAAGTATACATTGTGTTCACTTTATATTTACAAAACTTGGGTCATGCAAGTATGTGGTTCACATCCCATAATTTGTATAGAGGAATATAAGATCTATTGTTCTTGCTGTACCAACCAAAGGCACATATATATGATCTGTCTCACCTATCAATAAAACCAAGTGGCCTTTTATTCCCAGGCCACAACCAAGAGATCAAAACCAGGTGACTGTATGCTTGTTAGAAATTGTTGCAGTTCATTCACTCCGCAGGACACCCGTCATCTTTAAAACAAGCCTATTCATCACCAGCTATCAAAGTCAGGGCTCTCACTGCACCTGCTCTCAGTGACCGTGTATTCACAACTGAAACCTTTGCTCATACATTTATTTTGGGGCTGAGCAACATGGCTCTAGAGAACTGAGAAGAACCATCCTGCTTCCCCTGCACATGAATCTCCTTTCATTGACCTTGAACCCTATGACGGAGGGTGCATGTAAACCAGTATAATGGAAGATTTTCATCCACAGGAGGAAACCCTTCAGCGGGCACGGGAGGAGGAAGAGAAGAGAAAGGAGATCACGAATCATTTCCAGAGTACCCTGACAGACATCCAGGCCCAGATTGAGCAGCAGAGCGAGCGGAACATGAAGCTGTGTCAGGAGAACACGGAGCTCGCAGAGAAACTGAAAAGCATCATTGATCAGTATGAGCTCAGGGAGGAGGTAAGAACCACATCAAACAACATAGAAGCACTGGATACAGATCCCGACCTGGGTTGTGAAGGTAGGGAACGTGGTTAATAAGAAAGTTATGACCAGCCTTCTCAGTTGATTAATAGTTAGGATTGGATTTCTTCTACTAGCCAAATAAAAACAGATGGTATTGCGCAATACCTGGCTGAAAGTCATATGGAATTTCTTCAAAACTGGAATCACTGTGAAGCAAAGGCAATAAATAGAAAGTGATAGGCTGTGAGCACAGTTATCCTCAGCCTTTTTAAAATGCCCTCTACAGAGCCAAGAAATGCTGCACACACTCCCTCTTAAGAATCGCCATGTCATTAAGGATCTGTATTCTAAATACCCCACAAACCAATACCAGTATTAATAATGTAATCATTATAACCATCATGGTATTATTGATTCAGACTTTAGTTTTGGTCATGTGCTAAGAACTATACATACAATGTCACTTAATTGTCTCAACAATCTTATGCACTAGATAATAATATATTATCTACATTTTACAGATGGGAAGCAGAGGCTATGAGATTAAATCACCCACAGTCACAAAAGGAGGTCTGCTTTAATAGTTCACCTTAAGGGGACTATGGGGATCCTTAATTATTCCAAAATTATATTTTATTAATTAATATGTTTTTAAGACTCCTAAAGTCCCATCAGGATTTTGATTGATCATATTTCTTTCCTCATTTTAAACTTTCCTCATTTTAACTTAGTCAAAGTGGTTCTGTTGGCAACATGCTAAGGAAACAACTGAGCCAAAGGCATGTGGGAGTACCACTTAGGTAAATCAAGAAACTCCTCATAATAAGCCAAAATGCCAAGCGACTATTTCATCTTGTCAGGAAGATCAACACTGCTCCAGAGTGGAGGACCAGGTGAAAGCAGAAAGGAAGGAGCTAAAAAGAAAATAGCCATACTCTTCAGGAAGATCTCAAATGGGAATGGCCTGGTAGACTGGTTGTCAATTTCTGGGACTGGTTCTAAGTAAGGCCAAAGGATAGAATTCCATATGTCCTCTTGCCAATGGGACCTCCTAATGAGCAAGAAACTCTCCACACTGGGGTAGAGTTGGAAGCCTCTCCTGACCAAGCTAGCAGAGAGGTCAAAAGGTACGGAGGCACACAGTTGCACATTTGCCTATCAACGCAAGGCCCTTGGCCTTGTCTTGCCCACCAGAGCAACAGACTTGAAGTCAGGGGGCTCCTGCCTTAGTCCCTGATCCAGGGCCACATGCTGGTACCCCAGAACTTCCTTACAATCCTTGAAGCAAGAACTGTGAGGATGTGGAGGAGAGTTCACCATGATAAACTATATTAATGTTGTGCTTAAAATTAGTTTTATATTCATAGAAAGTGCCAAAATACCAAGTGATAGTGCTGTTATGATATACATCACAGTCTGTGCTGCCTGGCCTATTACCAGCATCATATCAATAGTTACCAATTCTAGAAAAATAATGTGGGGGCCTTTTGGAGATACAATTGCTGAATTCTAGCACCTCCACCTTTTGCCACCACATTTGTGAATGCAAAATGCAGGGGACTTCACCAATTTATGGTCTTCTGCAAAGCCATAAGTGATGCTGATGTATTTATTCCCCTCTTTTTAAAAATCTTAAAACCTGGAGAATGTGTGTTTATATGAATATTACTTTTTATTTTATATTTTTCAGCACCAATAACAAGTCAAGCTTGATATGTGCACTTTGTTTTTTTCCTTAGCATCTGGACAAAATATTTAAACACAGAGAACTGCAGCAGAAGCTGGTGGATGCGAAACTGGAGCAGGCGCAAGAAATGATGAAGGAAGCAGAGGAGCGACACAAACGCGAAAAGGAATATGTACTTATCATCTGAGTCAGTGTGCTTGTCTGGTCTGCCTCGGGGTCAGAGGACCCTGAGAAAGTTGTTTTTGAGAATGGTCTCAGAGCCATAGACTGATAGAGAAAGAGCCTGAGCTCCCCTGGAGACTAAATTGGCCAGCCCGGTAGGAGGCACTGTACCTAAACAACTTTCTACATAAAACAGTCATGCATCCATTCAACAAATCTTTTCCCAGTGCCTGTCATATGCCATGCACCATCCTGGGTCCTGGGGTACAGTGGTGAACAAGATGGAGAAGGTCATGACCCTTGGAGACTAGAGTCTAACGGGAAAGAGAAAAGCAATTAACAAGCAAACACACAAGGAAGGGTAATTTCAGATAATAATAAGTGCTACTAGGGAAATAAGGAGGAACTGAGAAGGGGCAGAAGGAGGGGACCTACTTTAGACCAGGTGACCAGGAAGGCCTCCCACAGGGGAGGTGGCTTGAGCTGAGCCCTACCTGATGAGAAGGATGTCTCCAATAGCAATGTCTGTAGCAGTGACAAAGGCCCTGATGCTGGAACCAGCTTGGCATCCTCTAGAAATAGGAAAAGGTTAAGGTAGCAAGAACATGTTGACCCCGTGGGAGAAAGTTTCAAAATGAAGTTGGAGGGGGAAGCAGGCACCAAGTAGGCCTGGAAAGTAGTTTGGATTTTATTCTAAAAATAATGAGAAAGGACTGAGAAAGGACTGGGTAGCTTTAGCAAAGGAAGTGGCATGATCTGCTTGGCATTTGTAAAAGATGAATTTGGCTCCTGGGTGGAAAATGAACTAAAGAGGGACCAGAAAGCAAGAAGACAGTTAGGAGGCTACTGCAGCAATCGGGCTGAGCTATGATGGTGAATTAGGGAGGGGGGCAGTGGTGAAGGAGAGCTGGACATGGATAAAAGTTACGTTTTCAATGCAAAGCCAGCAGGCAATGCAGTAATCTGAAGGTAATAGTGAGAAAAGGAGTCAAACTTGGCTACTGAGTTTCTGGCTTAAGAAACCAAGTGGTGGCTTTTATTGACATCTCATTAACCCCAAATACTCCAGGACAGCTGTAGGGCCATTCTACAGATGAGAGGCTCAAAGAAGATACACAGTTTTATAATTAAGGTCACACGCTGCTAAGGGACCAAGATGTATAGTACACCAAAGTGTATCTGCCCCCAAGCCCAACTCTGTGATAGTACATCACACTCAGGGGCATGTTTCAGAGGCAAAAGTTGAAGTGTGTGTCTATTGCTGGGGAGAGATTTAAGACATAGTCAATGGGCCAACCATTGGAATTTGGCCATTTAATAATTGATCACGAGCTTTGCCTTTACTGAAAATCAGATCAGAATCACTTCAATTTGTTAGAATAGTAATTTAAAAATAACTTTGGTTTTCAAATGTAGCAACAAAAGGACAAATTTTCGAGTACATAACCTAGTGGTCACTGAATAATTTCAAATCAGAAGTCCATGTGCTCTTAATAAAAAAGATTAATTTATTAATCCATCTACAATCTAGCTCTCAAAGAAAGAAATACATTTAAGAAAACAGATACTCTACTGTTGTCATAATTACTCCAGTAGGTAAAATATGCTTCCTAGAAGATCAGTACCTGTGGTCTATAATATATGAGACATGACAGAGGAACATCTAGGCAAAGGTTCAGTGAAGGAGATTGGGGGGCGGACGTGGGGTGACTGGCCCAGCCTTAGCAAGAAACTCCCAGGCTATCTATTTTCCTACCCCAGTTTAGTAAAACATAGCAGGTTTTGAGGCAAAGAAAAGTAGCCTGCCTCGGTTCTTCAAAGCTGGCCGGCCACTGACCCCGTTTCTAGCTCTGATACTTTTCTCTGAAAGTAATAAAATCACTTCAAAGCTGGGAGGTTCCTTCACTCCAGGTAGAAATGGCAGCCACCTGCCTCCCCTCTGCCAGGGACCACCCAGAACAACAGGGCTCCTTAACCCACTTAGAAAGCAGGGGCCATGTACACGGCCACCATGCCGCTCAGATGGCCAGAGGGGTCTTCCACCTCACAGCTGCCCCAGAGCACTCAAATTACTTCACTTCTATAATAATCCATCTTCACTGCACGCTGGGAGGTATAGAGGAATATATAAAACCCATCTTACAAATGGAGAGATCGAGCCACGAGAAAAAAGACAAACTAAGATAAGAAAAAAGATATCTTCAAGGTTTAAAAAATGGTTTCATTGGTTTGTTGTTGTTGTTGTTGTTCTGATTACAAATGTAATACATGGACCTCGTGGACACTTTTTTACAATAGAGACAAATACAAAGAAGAAAATTTAAATCAGCCTTTCTTCAAATACATGAGAATCTTCTTAACTGACAGCCACCTGCCTAACTAACCAGATTAACTCATGATGTTCACCATCCTCTCTGTAAATGCACTGCTGACAGATGCCCACAACATGTTGAGTCCTGTGGCTAGTAAGCCAATCTGGATTGTCTACACATGGTTGCCCCCAATAAGTAAGATGGAATTGACCAAGAATCAGCTCTTTGCTCCCAAACCTTTTCTGTCCAGTTATCCTTGTGTTTCTATTCTGTAAATCAACAGAATCACACATTAACTGAAGAAATAGGAGTATGAAAAGAAAGTTGTTTCCATGAAAATTATGAATAATGCTTCTTTTGAAAGACTAGATATAAGCAAACAGCAAGAAACACCTGTCAAATCAGATGTTAGTAGCTATAAAAGACAGGGAGAATGTTGTAAAACTCTACAGAATAAAAAAAATCAAGCTGGTTCACAAGTATCTGTCAATCTAGCACTCCAGCACCTTTGTTTAAAAAAGAAAAAATTTTAAATCTTATATGGCACATCATGGATATTATTTTTGTAAAACAAAATAAACCTTGCTAGGTTCCATTATGAAGGCCCATACCCCCAAAAAAAGACCAGAGCCCTACATCAAAATGGATAAATAAGTGAACATATCTCTTAAGTAAAAAATAACATGTCTGTGTCATTTTTATGCCTAAAACAAGTTCTTCAATTTAACCCCACAGCTCAGAGTTCTGATCCTGTTTCCTATGAGAGCCTTGATTGTATTTTAAAGGCTACCTTATGGAAGAGGGACCTTATTTTGTAAACTTATACAGGACTTATTTTCTAAACCTAACACAGGATTTGGGGCAATAGGTCAATATCTAACCCAGTGTTTTTCAAAATGTAATCTATGGACCACCAACATCCAAACCACTTTGGGTATTTGCTCTAAGTATGGATTCCAATCACACATCCTAAATTTCCTTATTCATGTTCTCTGAGAGGAATCAGAATTTAGACATGCTCCCTGAGTGATTCTAATACCTGCTCTGGTGGAGAACACTGGTTAGTTAGGAGACAAACTTTGGGTTTAATATAAAGAAACAGTTGTTCACAAAAGTGCCCCAGGTGGGGATGTTCTGGAGATGTTCAAGCAGAGGACAAATAATGGGTGGGCAGGATTGCTAGAGAAGGTTCCAGAATTTGGTGGGAGGTCAAATTTTGTGTAATTCATGCTTGACTTAAAAATGATTTCCCCTTTTCCCCCCAAATAAAACCACTACTTTTTAGTTGAGAATCCAACCATTGAGACTAGTTGTTTTCTTATATTTCTTAGAGTCTCTACAAAGTTCCCCCAAAATTACTTGAGTGGGTGAATTAGCAAGTTATTATGTCTTATACTCATATTACAACCAAATGATAATTTAAAAGACAATCTGACCGTTTTTTCCTGCATTCTCTCTTCTCACAGTTGCTGAACCAGGCAGCAGAGTGGAAACTTCAAGCCAAAGTGCTGAAGGAACAAGAGACAGTCCTGCAGGCTCAGGTGAAGTGAGGGGAAACATGCATGGGGTGTGCCCTCCTTCTGTCCCCAAGTCAGAGGCTATGAACCAAAGGTGGTCTGCAGAGGGCTCACTTGTGGCAGGGAGAGGGGGCCAGGAGTTGAAGATAAAGAATAACTTCATGTCTATTAAGAAAAACAAAAGCTCTGCACCAACAACATCGATGCAAAAAAGGGCACCAAAATGGTCAATGAGAATAAGCTGGTGTCCAGGTTCCCACCTACCTGTTCATACATATGTCCTCTCTCTCTCTCTCCCCACATCACCCTATTAAGGTAAGAATAAAATGTAAACTGTTCAGATGCACCATCTATACTGTCAATACTGAAAATGTCCTTGCTTGCTTGATATTATCTGTAATAATAAAAGCATAATATGCAAATTGACCGAATGACCAAACAGCAGAACCACTGTCTGGACAACCTTCCGGATGACCACGCTATGACACGCACTGGCGCCAGGCCAGCCAAGGCGGTGCAATGCAATCGGTTGGGGGGACCCCGCCATCGCCCCACGATCGCACCGCAGAGGAAGGCCCAGGCCACTGGCTGGTGGGGCGATCGATCAGGGGGAGGGGGTGCTCCGCAATCACCCCAAAGAGGGAGGCCCAGGCCACCCTCTGCGCAGAGATCGATCGTGGAGCCCCAGCCAGGTGGGCGGGGCCTCCCTCTGCGGGGCAATCAATCTAGGGGCCCTGTGATTGATCGCCCCAGAGAGGGAGGCCCAGGCCAGCCAAGCAATCACACCCCACACCTGTCGCCCGCAGAGGTAGGTGACCAGTGGAGGGGGAGGAGGGGGCAGAGCTGCACAGATGGCAAGCAGTGGCAGCAGCGGGGGCGGGGCCAACTGCCAGCAGCTGGGGGAAGGAAAGCCTGATAGGCCCTGATTGCCGCTGAGGCCTAGGGACCCTACCCGAGTGGTCCTGGATTGCAAGAGGGTGCAGGCCGGGCTGAGGGACAACCCCCCTCCCATGCATGAATTTCATGCACAGGGCCTCTAGTTCATAATAAAGGGAAATTAGAATGAGCACCCAAGCTTTTGTGCTCTCACAGGTTGGCTCTGTCAGTGGCAAATGACTAAATGGCAGACAAGTCAGGAACTGTTTTCATTTGGCTTTATGATGTCATATGTGTGTTTTGACTAGATTAAGGGAATTCATATTTCAGAATAAAAAATAAAGCCTCATGCAGCATCTGACTCTGGGGGAAAGCAAGACCTGTCCATCATTCCTGGGCCTTGGGGCCTCTGTCCCTCCTGGCAAACCTTCCCAGGTTCCAGGAGAGCCATTCTGTCCTGGCCCACACAGGGGCTCTGGCTCCCCTGCTGGGAGGAATGCCCAGGGTCCTACAGGAACTGTGAAATCACATAGAACAAATTCACACAAGGTGCTGAAATCAGAAGACTTCCAAACTGGACAGCATAAAGATGTGAGCAATTCACTTGTCCATGTTTATGCACTAACTGCTGAATACTTGTTCGTTATAAAAGAAAAGGCAAATAAGAAAAACAAGCAAGTTAAAATCACAAATTATACCACTACATAGATGAACCACATCCAGCATGGCCAGGGGTGAACCTGAGGAGGGGCGGTGAAGGATTAAAATAAACAGACAAGAGAATACAGTTGGGACCATGTGGATCACTGTGCCTGGAAAAGGAAACAGTGACACGCCTGTGAGCCGAAGCTTTATTTTATAGTCAAGTCACAAAGCAAAACAAGGGCAAGATGTTTACAATGTTCCTGTGAATTTCAAATCTGCTTCTTTCCTATTATTGCCATTCTCTGAACTCTATCAAGCCTTGTTTTGGCAGCACTTGCTGTTTACCCCTCCCCCCCTCCCCGCCCTCAGCCCACATCCCTTAGCTACCTAGGACTGCAGGGTGGGACTATAAGGTCAAGCTTACAACCATAGCCTTTGGCTATAATTGTGCTGGGAGGGCTTTGCCCTCCAAGCTGGGACTTGTATGTGGCTTTGCCACAAGTCAGTCCGAGGCTTGATCCTGTCCGAACGCTGTAGCCACTCTCCACACATAGACAAAAGCACAGATAACATTTGGAAAGCTAACCTTCCTAAAGCACACTTTTCCAATGTGTGTACTGAATGCAAAATGAATTGTTTTCCCCCAGTAATATATCAAAATAGTTTAAAAATACTAATTACATCAACATTAGAGCCATAAAGTTTTTGACGATTAATAGAATGAAGGAACTGGGAGTTAAAAGACTAAAGTCTCGAGTCATAAACTCCAGATCATCCTTCAGGCAGTCACAAGGCCCATCACATCACTGTGTGGGGTCGATGACAGGCAGAGGTGGCACTCTAACCAGAGCCAGGCAGGGGGTGGAGATGTGACCTCACCAACTGATGGCATGAGAGAATCAAGCCAGGGCTTCTGGCCCTATCTCTTCCCTATTCAACACAGAGCCTTGCAGCAATACTTGCAACTACTCACATCATGTTACAAGCAATCTCTATTCCTCTTTGCTAAATAAAGAGAACTTGAGAAGAGTATATTAATATCATATGATTCTGGGCTAAAGAGTGATTCACTCAGATGACATGACCTATAAAATAAAAAATAAAGGTGTGCCCTAATTTTCCACCTATATCCCCCTAAAACTTGAAAAAGCATCTATCTGGAGTTCTAGACTTGCCAATGTTTCTCGTTCATCCCTCAATACTGACCTGAGTCCAGGGACCAGGGTCAGAGTCCTGGTTCTTCTGCTGAAAAGCTAGGTGACCCTGTGCAATGCACCTAAGCCTCCCTAGACCTAAATGTCCTTGTCTGTAAAATAGGATGATGTAATGGATTAATGATCCCAAGCTGGAGTCCTCTGGGAGGCCCAATAGTTTTCAATATTTCCAAAACATAACAGCACACAAGGCAGCAGCTGCTATCCAAAATGTAGTTGTTTTTGACATTATATCAGTTCTCAATCATGCACCTATGGCTATGGATGGCAATTATTCATATATTTGATTAAATGTTTAAAAGAAAAATTAGTTCATGAATATGTAGTATATGAAGTTTGTTTTCATATTGTGCATGCAAAGCACTTAGCTCAGTGCCTAGATCATAATAAACATAATTAATTCAACTTATATTTATTGAGCACCTACTAAGTGCTAGGCATGCTTGTAGGTTTTGGAGATATAATCAGTGGGAGACAAAAATCCCTCCCTAATTAAATTTACACTCTAGTTATAACAATAATGTTAATAACAATTAGTATATGAGCTAATATCAGTACTATTTCATAGGTGAGGACCACATAGTGATATATGAGTCTAAGGGAGTCTTTATTTGCACAAAAGTTTAAGAACCACTGGAAATATGATACCAAGAACCTGTTCAGCTCTAGTTCATGAATGTAAAGAACATCCAGAGCTGAAGAAGTGTAGCCATAAACTGAGTTAACCCTGCCTTCTCCTCTTTTGCCCCATTTTCCATGGCACGTGGCTCTCTCTACAAGGACCCACCTTTGTCTGTGTCTTTTGTCTTCAAGGCACTTTCAAAACTCCAATAACTATTTAATCGTCAAGAAGAATATAGAGGCCCTGAATCCCTGTGTGTAATCATGTTTAGACAAGTTCCTCTTGACAAGTATCAATATTATACTTGTAAAACTTCTAAACCTTGAAAAGCAAAGTCTATCACAGATTATTTCGCACAGCACTCAAACACTGCCTTTGGTTTACAATGTCTTTAAATGGGTGGATGACAGGAAAGGGAGGCCTCCGTTCTCATTTCTTCCATCTGAGCAAGGGAAATGTCAAGACGGATTGTGTTTTCCTTGACGGAAGTCACTTTTCAGTCAAACAGCTTGCCAGTTTGGGGCATGATTCTCACTTAGGGAAGAGATGTCTGGCTTGCAATTATACAAACCAAGGCAATAGACTAAATGTCAGAGATGATCAATGGGATGCAATCATCACTACAAATAGAGTGTTCACTGGATCGATCAGGGTGAAGATGGTAGTAGATGTGGAAAGTCAGCAACCCCTGGCAACGCAGACACGAAATACTGCCCGAGGGGAAAGATCAGCGAGTAAACTGTTAGAGATGGGTAATCGTCATCCTTCAACCCCAAAATCCTCACCTTATCAACATACGATGGGAGAAAAGTCCTCTGCAACTACTATTATATTTGGCTTTATTCCCAAATCAAATCTCAAAAGTTTGCTAAGAAAATCCCTGAGCACAGTTCTGTTCCCTATATGTTTTGAATGACTGTAATTAAATTTGGCGCTCGGTTAAAAGAATGTGTGTGTCAGCCCGTTTAAAATAGAAATGTTGAGACAATTATTGTTTACTAACCCGAGAACAGTTTGTTTCTATTTCTGCCTCTGGCAGGAGAGAGAGGTACTGTGGATGACCTCGGGATGTTCCTTCGACACTTCTCTGAAATACCAAAGTGAGTGCAGGAGTATGACACATCAAAACAAACGTGCACCATGTTTGGTAGTGAGAGGAAAAATACGACCAAACAAATATCCATATAGTAAACAGGAAGTATACATCTTTAGGTGGTATAAGTGGAGGGTTAGAGTTGGTTACCTGAGAAAGGTATACCTCACACAGGTTTTGCCACATATGGCAATAGGGTCAAATACAAAGAAAAGCAGAATATTAAGAACAGTCACCCAAAGGGGAAAATGGGGAGTTGTTGTTTAATGGGTATAGAGTTTCCGTTTTGCAAGATGAAAACATTCTGGAGACTGGTTGCACAATGATATGAATATACTTAACACTACTGAACTATACACTTAAAAATGGTTAAGTGGTCAAGTTTATGATATGTATATTTTACCAAAATTTAAAATTGTTTAAAAGGGAAATGTTGGCCGAAACCGGTTTGGCTCAGTGGATAGAGTGTCGGCCTGCGGACTGAAAGGTCCCAGGTTCGATTCCGGTCAAGGGCATGTGCCTGGGTTGCGGGCACATCCCCAGTGGGAGATGTGCAGGAGGCAGCTGGTCGATGTTTCTCTCTCATCGATGTTTCTAACTCTCTATCTCTCTCCCTTCCTCTCTGTGGAAAATCAATAAAAATATATTTAAAAAATAAATAAAAAATAAAAGGGAAATGTTGAAAAAAAATCATTAGAAAAAGGCCAGAAAAGGTGGTAATGGAGCAAGACATTATTTCCTGGCACTCTGGATATGTCTGTCATTTCAATCAGCTCAACTGATACAATAAAAATAACATTATGCCTAAATAAAGGGGTGGATGTGGTTACTCCTACTAGAAGTGTCAAGGTTGCCTCTATGAGATGGACCATGCATGCGATCATTCCTGCCCTCTCCAGTCTGCAACCTGCAACTAAAGGGCTGCAAGAGGGCTTGGGAGACCATAGGATCTGAGACATCCATGTAATTCTGCTGGAATTACTGAAAAGTTGAAAAAGAGAGGAAGCAAGAAAAAAGTTAATAGGAATGCTTGGCCAAGAAGGCAAATAAATGGATTTTGTGATAGAGGGTGAAGAGGATCAGTTAGGGGTAGTTACTCCCACCAGAGGCTACCAGATCATGTGCAATATTAGTAGCCAGCCCCACAGGAACTTACACTAGGATAGAGCCTCTCAAATTGAGAGGCTTGACCTATTCATGGGCCCTGAAAATAAATTCATTGGATCCCTGCCAGGACTTCGAAAAAAAATAAAACAGAATTAAATCTGTTTTGAGAATGCATTGCAGGCAATAAAATTATTGTCTTATACATTGTGTGTGTATGTGTGTGTGTGTGTGTGTGTGCGCGCGCGCACGCGCACACAAAACTTCCCTGGCCATGAATTCCCCAATGCCCCTTTACCCAATCTTCCCTAATCTGTATGCATGGAATCAAATTTTAGACCACTAGAGCTGCCCCAAACTCTGTCACATATTCACAGTGCTAATGAATGATTTCAAATGATGGTCAGCTGTTGTCTGGCTTTTCTTTTTTTTTTTTTTTTTTTTTTTTTTTTATTGCTTAAAGCATTACAAAGGGTATTACATATGTGTCCTTTTTTTCCCCCCGCCCTTGACAATACCCCGGCTTCCCCTACCCCCCAGTGTCTTATGTCCATTGGTTATGCTCATATGCATGCATACAAGCCCTTCAGTTGGAAATATTATATCCAATGAAAAGGTTTTATGTTATCATTTTGTTGATCTTTACTGCAATAAGAACTCTGCTGTTCTGAATCATTTGAGAATGAACTATTCTAGATAAGCATATTTTATGAGTTCTAGGGTTAATTCCCACACGCTCCCTCTCACTCCCACCTCCAAGACTAAGAACTCTACATTCTACTGGCTTTCAATTGGTCAGCTCTTCTCTGCTTTTGAAAGGAAAATATCACAAGTATCACCAGCTGGTTAAGTTGGTGCCTGCCATCTGCCCAATAATCCAACCATCCCAGTCTACCAACCAACGGTAGTCTCGGGTTCTTATTTGTTGCTGGGTGTTGTAAGCTTGCTTCTTTATACAAAAGACATTTCTGTGCCCATTTGAGGACTTGGGGCTGTTCCAGGCACTCAAGGGTACCTACCAAAGACTCATTTTAAAATGCCGACTTTTGTCACTTAAATCAGCCATATTAAATCAATCACCCAAAATATGCTATCCTAAAATTATTTTCAAACACAAAACTTTATTATTGTATTACTGTCACTAACCATCAAGTATTTACACACCTTCCTTTCCTGTTCTGCTCTATTCCCACCCAAAGGCAAGCTTTGGAATTAAGGATGTGGAGACACAAAGGCTTCTCCCTATACTCCCGTGGTGAGCTGCACACTTGCCAATGCTAACCCATACAATGTTGTTCTGTGCAAATCAGAAAAAGGCATTCCTTCCTCAAGACTCATTATTTCCATCTGTAGAAAACTGATATAAGAAACTGATTTTGATGAGAAGAGACATTTAACAGCTATTGGCTAGAACACTATATTCATAAATACACAAAACCACAATGTCTACAATGGAAATTGCTTACAGTGGCACAACCTGCATCATGGCAGCAGCCATAGTCCATGTCCAGCCCACATTTCCTTTATCACTTTTTTTCATTTGTCTACATTCTCACTTCCTCCAAGACCCAGTTCAAGGCTCACCTCCCCCACAGAAACATGGCTGCTCCTCTACATTGGCACTGTATTTTCACTGAACACTAGTCAGATTGTCTTCGGGATTGTCTTTCCATCAGGATTACAGGTCCCTCAAAAGTGGGAGCCACATGTCAAATACTTTTGTATATACAATCCATGCAAATGTTCAGAGCTCAATAAATGTTTGTTGGTAAAAATTTATGATACAATGAAGTGGTAATGACATATTTTATTATTTCATTTTTCTTTAAAGATGTATTTAATCATAGTCACTGACCTCGGTTGATCTCGTAGTAAATAAAAGAACTGAGCTTATTACTAACACTGCATTAGAATTCCCTTAAATCATTTATCTTAACAAATAATGAACAATGACATGTTTTGTTCTGGAAGCATTCAGAAAGGAGCCCTAAAATAGATCCTCTCTCTCCCATTTACAGCTCACCCTCTACTCTGGGCGGTTTGAAGAGTTCCAGAGCACACTGACAAAAAGCAATGAGGTGTTTGCCACTTTCAAACAGGAAATGGATAAAGTGAGTACAGCTTACCCCACACAAAATATTGACATTTTCTATTTTGACGGGCAATTCTCCTTTGGGTTCATTTTTCTCTTGCTAAGATATTCCAGTGCGTTTCATGAAGTAATGAAACATTTATAGGTGCCAATGAGATTTGGGTTGTATTTTTTCATTGGTAAATATCTAGTGTATTAATCTTAAAAAGAGCTCCAAAACACTAGGACACATTTTCATTCTGAGGAAGATTTTTTTTTCTACTCCATGGATGGCTTTAAAAAAAAAGAAGAAGAAAAGAGCTAGCAGTTTAGCAGTTTAACATTATGTTGTTCATACTGAAATTATATATATATATATATATATATATATGATCTAAAAAATTTTTAAATAAAGCTTTCAGCCAGCTGATGTGCTCAGTGGTTGAACATTGACCCAGGAACCAAGAGATCACCAGTTCGATTCCCGGTCAGGGCACACACCTGAGTTGTGGGTTTGATCCCAGTAAAGGGCGTGCAGGAGGCAGCCGATTGATGATGTTTCTCATCCATGTTTTGATATTTATACCTTATATCGCTCTCCCTTCCTCTTTCTAAAATCAATAAAAATATATTTTTTAAAAAGCTTTCATATAAATATGCAAGAGTAGAATTTTAAAGCAGAAAATGCCATTTCATAGGATCCTTCCTAAAAGAGAAGATATGTAGTATGATGTAACTGACAGAGTATTTGAATGAGATGATGAATTGAAATTCTGGTGTGTTCTTACACCTCAAGTAGCATTGGACAATTCACTCAACTTCCCTCAGTTTTATTTTTAATACAATTCAAGGCAATGTCCCCCTTGCTTCCTTCATAAGAATATGAAGTTCAAATAAATTAACATATTTTAAGAGGGCTTTCAACTTAAAAAAATTTTTTTACAAATAAAAGGTGCTCATATTATTGTGGGATATAACACTTAAATCTTATTTAATTCAGTGTTTTCCCAAAACAAAATCAGCATCACAATTGTGTTTCTAAAACATTGGCATTAAACATTTTTAAGTGTAGAAAGCCTCTTCTTCAAAATATTTTCATAAAATAAGATAAGTTTCACAATTCAGTGAGCAAACATAAGTAGACTAGCTCTTGTTAATAATTACAGTTTTTTCTACCCCTGGAGGGATCTGTCCATTTAAAAAAACTTAATTATAGAGTTTTAAGATGAAAATCAAAGCATGAAAATTTGTTTTAATTTAAAATTATATAGCTTTAAGATTGAAATAAATCTTAAAGAGAAATCTAAATCTTAAAGATTAAAAGGAGGAGTTCTTAATCTGGAGTTTATTTATAGCCAAAACATTTGATATGTATATTTGCATTTCTCTGAGTGTGGTCCCATAGACTTCATCAAATTCCTAAAGAACTCAATTACCTTAAAAAGTTCATAAACTACTAACTTAGTTAAGAAATAAAAACAAACAAAAAACACTCGAGGCTCCTCTATTGAGGCCAGTGGCCAGCGGCTGGGCTCAGCTCTGAGGGCACCCAGACTCGGGCAGATTGGCACACACAGCAAGTGCCAGCTGTGGTAAATCCAGGTCACTGCTCCTGCGTTATGTGCCTTGTCTTTTACTTCATCCAAGCAGAGAGGAGATCCTACAATCAGGATCGCGAGCAGTTTCAGCTTCAAAAGGACAGCTTTACAAGAAGAGAGAAACAAACTCTACAAAAAGATTAGAGAAGCGAAAATGCCTGAGAAGGATGAGCTATTTTTTTTAAATATATTTTATTGATTTTTTTACAGAGAGGAAGGGAGAGAGATAGAGAGTCAGAAACATCGATGAGAGAGAAACATCGATCAGCTGCCTCCTGCACATCTCCCACCGGGGATGTGCCCGCAACCCAGGCACACGCCCTTGACCGGAATCGAACCTGGGACCCCTCAGTCCGTAGGCCGAAGCTCTATCCACTGAGCCAAACCGGTTTCGGCTTTTATTTTTTTTAAAAGAGAGAAAAGCCAGTGACAAAACAGCATGGCCCTAAGTAGTTTCCTTTTTCTTGAACTGGCTCCGGTGCAAATACGTTTGTCCACCCCTGACCTCGATGGCGTAGGAATAAATGGTGACTTCCCCACTCACTCCTCATCCCTTCACATAGAACTCATATTTGCTTCAACAGCTGGAACAAAAGGACTTTCCTTGACATCGCCTATGAAACTGATAGCTTCTTTGGTAGGTTAACTTTTCAGGATGAATATTAAAACACTCTAATTTCTGCAGACGACTAAGAAAATGAAGAAGCTGGAAAAGGACACGGCCACGTGGAAGGGCAGGTTCGAGAACTGTAACAAGGCTCTGCTGGACATGATTGAAGAGGTGAGGGAGCTTTTCCCTTAGCTTACTCTCCCCTGGCCAGTCAAAGGATTCATACTTAGAACATTATACCCTAATGCTTACCTTTGAAAAAGGACTGACTTTTTCTGGGATGTGATATATGAAATTATAATAGAGTAATAAGAGCAAAGTAATTTAGAATCCTACCCAGACTCCTAAAGAGCCTTGTGTCCCTTAAGTCACATGCCTACTGTCCCCCCAAGTAGCAGCGGGCCTGCAGGGCTGTGAATTCCTTAAAGGCTTGATGAGTGTCCTACTTGTCTTTGAATTTCCCTGGTGCCTGGCATATAACAGGCACAGAATGAATTAATTCATTGATTTGAACATACTGAGAGAAGACACCAGCCCAAGCACCCAGGGTACGTGCTATTTTATAGACAGATATGGAGATATACTGTTTAATTCCTCCAACAGGCATTTAAACACTGATGTTATGTCAGGCCCTGAGGAGGTTTAGAGACTATAAAGGCAAAGATACATGGCCTTTGACCTGAGAGGCAGGACTTACAGGTAAAGGTCTCTCCATGTAAACAAGTAAAAAAAGCATCTTAAAGGGTACAGAGTAGCACAAAGATGGGGTGAGGGAGTAAGATAATTAGGAATAATTTCATGTACAAACACACTGACATTTCTAGAGAGAAGGAAAATCGAACAGTTTGAGCAGCCAGCATCATGAATTAGTGTGTGGTGAGTTTCTCTGGTTATAATTACTGTTCTAACAATTCATCCCAAATTACAACCAATTCTAAAGCATGAGTTTATTATCCATCAACATAAATCAAACCATTGCTGGATTAGCATATAGCAGTTTATCTATAGAATAGATAAGGCATTGCTGACTGCCAAGACCCAATCTATCTTATTCATTTTACCACATGCATGTACTTACACCCTCTAAGTCTTGCAGGCAGAAATTTCATGTACAATTCTAGAGGCCCTGAACTGAAGTAGAGAGAGGCTTTGCCATCTTTCTTTCCTAAATTCTACCAGAACCTAGCATACAATGCAAATAATAATAATAATAATAATAATAATAACTGATGCCTCTGACCAAGTGTCCGTCCAGCCACCACTCTGTGGTCAAACCCCAGAGCCTGGTAGGCAAATTCCTAGACAAATGGTTTTGCTTATCTCCAGAGAACATTCTGGCAATTTTGCTTTTTGACATTTTGTGTGTGTGTGTATTTTCAAATCACAGAAAGCATTAAGAGCCAAAGAATATGAGTGCTTCGTGATGAAAATTGGGAGACTAGAGAATCTCTGCCGAGCTTTACAAGAAGAGAGAAACGAACTCTACAAAAAGATTAGAGAAGCAAAAATGCCTGAGAAGGATGACCAAGGTCAGCACACCTCCGACGAAGAGCCCGAGTCAACGGTTTCTGTGGGTGAAGAGGCCGACGCTGAGAATGCCAATAGTGTTCACAATGCTGTGAAAAATCTGGCCGCAGCCTTTATGGTTATTCACCATTCAGAGCTGGCCCTTGACCAGTCCAAAGAATTCCAACCAGAATTCAGCAGTCTTCAAGGGGGCGGTGACATGGCCCTCAAGGAGCCAGAACAGCCCTCTCTGAGCCCTTCCTGCCATTCAGAGAGTTCCCCACCTCCCTCAGCTTCTCAAGCTGAGACTGAAGGAGGCAATGAGGTAGAACCTCCCCCCAAGGCCAGTAATCTCCCTGTGCGGTCCCAAGCAGAGCCCCAAGACCAGGGTCTCCCCACTGAAGTACTGGCTGATCAGGAGCCCCTTCTGGAGGCAGAAGCTTCTGGTCAGACCCCACAGTCCCCAGTAGAGGCCTCCCTATGGGGGATGGAGGCCAATGGTCCTGCTCCACCACCCCCAGGAGGTGAGAGAGTTCCAGCTGAGGCGCCTGGATGTGAGCCCAGTAGGCAGCCTCTGCCAGCAGCAGCAGCAGAGGGCCTGCTAGGAGGGGCCTCAGCTGGACCCCAGCTGCCCAAAGTGGCTGACACCAACGTGGAGGAAGTAGACTAAGGCTCATGGTGCCTCCGGAGGCTGTTCTTCCTGACTTCACATCTTCATCATAACCGACTCTTCTGAAAGAGGCATAGGGCTAGGGATGTCTAATGGAAGAGACTTAATTAGAATCAAAACATTTTTAAATGTTATGCAGAGCTCATTCAGCCTTTTGCTATTTGTTCTCAATTTGGAGCTTTTCTATTTATCACTGGTTGATAGTATAATTTTCCCAAATGGCAACAAAACATGCTAATAGAAAATTTATATTAATTTGCCATTAAGATGGTACTTCACTCAATTTGTTAATCAACAGTAAGATTTGGTATTTAAAGACTTCCACTACAATATATAAATACTGAAAATGTGATGTTCTATTTATTTCCATATGTAGTTTAATTAAGTCCATAATAAGTAATGGATGTCCAGGTTCTATTTAAACATGATATCTGTAACGTATGCATATGTGTACATATACTATACATATGTACATGTATGTAAAGGCGTACAATATATATGTGTGAATCTATACATATGTGTACTTATGCACATATATACACATGTGTGTATCATCTATATGTATATATTTACATACATTTCTTTCATCCTTTTTAAAATTTCTTTCATGCAAAATATTTAGATGCTAGTCAAAAAATGATCTCTTACTTGTACTTGGGACTAATGCTCTATGAATCAGTAGTAGATTCAGAACACAAATATTTAGGCTATGTAATGTTGGGCAAAAATAAGTAACCCAGTGGTAGGTCAATAAATTCAACCAATTGATCAAATGACATAACAGCAGTTGGGTTAGACTGCAAGTCTGTGTAAAATACATAAACACAAAGATAACCACAACAGATTATAAACAAAAAGGGGGAAAATCGCAGTTATAAACTGCTCACTTTTTCTAGCTGCTGCTTCTACTCAATTTAGCCCATTGCCTTGCAACCCAGCCTACTTATAGCCTCCTGCAAAGAAAGGGTTGCAGGAAGCTATGAAGAGAGGCCATGTTCACCCCTTGCCTCTTGTGACACAGAGGTCTTGAGACAGAATATTCACCTGGCCCTGCCAACTCCTCAGTTCCCTCCCTGTCACCTACCACTCTCTCCAGAGGTTTTCTCACCACCTCTTGCTGTCACTGCCTCAGTCTAGAATCTCAAAGCATCTGCTCCTTCTTTCCAGCAGGAAATCCTCATTTCAATTATTGTTAAGTAAAAGCTATTATCTTTCCAGAACAGGGTCTCAATATGAGTGATGAGGCTTACAAACCAACACAGTTTCTATTTTGAGGAATTCTCTAATGCCAGAAGTACAAAGCAAAGGAAAAATGGGTTCCTACTCAAAATGACTTGAAAAATAAGTGAGGATCCAGGAGAAGGCAAAAGCTAGAAACACCTGAGGTTGTCTATATGAGTATTACATTATCATTGCTTGGCAAGAACCTCTAATAATAAAAGCAGCATAAGTCACTCTGCCTAGGGTAAAGGGAGACTTCAACAAAAAACAATAAGAAGGAAGAGAGGTAGAGAGGAGGATAGGGGAGAGGGAGGGGAGGAGGAGAGAAGAAAGAAAAAAAAAAGATCTAACCCAGCCCTACCTTAAAAGTTGAACTCAAGTAGAAAAATGGATGAAAGCAAGATCCTCTATTATTTATGCAGGAAATCATTCTTCAGTGTCACATGTGGCTGTCTGCCAAGGCACACAAAGTGCTTGTAGGCAGCAACCATATGCTACAAGAATTGTAAACTGCATAAAATTTGTTTGAAGTAGACAGTGAGGATAATAACAAAACGCTAGTTGCAGGGGGGGGGGGAGGGGGCATATCGCTATTTAAGAACCCATGTATTTTTAAAGACTTAACATATTACAACCACAGGGTATCCAGCCAAATTCAACATTACATGAAGTCTTAGAGATTTAAAGATTCATTTAATTCAGAGCCAAATATTCACCATAACAATTCTGGAGGGTCCCTTTTTCCACTACTTACATAGGCTAAACTTCCAAGAATGGACTAAGATTTGATAATCATAGTAAAGTCTCAGTCAGCATGTCTAGCAAGAGGAGCCAAAATCCAGTAAATCAAATATTCTAATACCCAAAAATTTTTGGGTTTTTTTCATCCAAAAAGCTTTCATAGCAACATAGTGCTCACTATATATCTTGGGCAGAGTTTCAGATATAATAACTTGCCTGAAATTTGCAAAACTCTAGGCTTTGGAAGAATTATTTTAATATTCAAAGAATGTTTTATTAGAGTCCTTTGTGTTAGAATCTGGCCTTACTAATTATAACAATCTCTATATCCTATATAATAAAAGGGTAATATGCAAATTGACCCTAACAGCAGAACGACTGTGAATGACTGGTCACTATGACACACACTGACCACCAGGGGGCAGACGCTCAATGCAGGAGCTGTCCCCTGGTGGTCAGTGCGCTCCCACAGGGGGAGTTCTGCTCAGCCACAAGCCAGGCTTATGGCTGCCAGCACAGTGGTGGTGGCAGGAGCCTCTCCCGCCTCCTCAGCAGTGCTAAGGATGTCCGACTGCAGCTTAGGCCTGCTGCTGGCAAGTGGACATCCCCCGAGGGCTCCCGAGCTGCCAGAGGGATGTCTGACTGCCAGCTTAGGCCTAATCCCCCAGGGAGTGGGCCTAAGTCAGCAGGTGAACATTTCCCAAGGGGTCCCAGACTGCGAGAGGGCACAGGCCAGGCTGAGGGACACCCCCCCAAGTGCACAAATTTTTGTGCACCAGGCCTCTAGTATATATATAAAAGGCTAATATGCTAAGTGTCCGACCGTCTGACTGGTCGCTATGACACGCACTGACCACCAGGGGGCAGCCGCTCAACGCAGGAGCTGCCGTGATGTGCACTGGCCATTTACAGAGAAATGGCACCATAGACCTGGTGCCTACAAAGCAACACTCGGCTTCCCACAAGTGGGACACAGGCCCCGCCACCACCCAGGAGCAACACCCCACCAAATTACAGCCAATGCTGCCGAGACCCCATGGCACAAAATGTGGCCCACAGCCCAGCCCAGCCCGGAAACAGTCACTGTGGGCACCAGGTAATGATGTCATGTAGCAATACATGGCTTCCTCTCCCTAGCGACTAGCCTCCTTGGAGTTTCTTCAGCCCAGGAACATGACTTGCTTTATAGCCAGGTGCAAACATTTTTACACTTTAACCAAATGTCTGTGAAGCATTGTCCCATGCCTCATCTCATTTGATCCTCACAGAAGTCCTGGAGTAGGTAGATAGGAGACTCAGTAGAACCCTATTTTCTTTTCATTAGCCGGAAAATGGAGATTTAGAAAGCTTAGAAACTTGATCCAACTGAAAAGAAGTAAGAAATAGTGGACCTTGAAAATGACTTCAGGTTTTCTCACTGCACAGCATATAGTCAAACATTGCTGCAGTTAAATATTTTACCCTTTGTTCTCCCTGCATGATCTACAATAATAATCTGCTTCGTGTTGATATTTACTGCTGTATTGCTGACAATTACCTGAAAGAGAAGTTGGGGTGCTTCACTGGGCTGGAAAAAGTTTAGCTAAATCAAAACCAGGTCTAATTAAGCAAGTTTATTCTATATCCATAAAAGGCTAAGTTGACTCGCGCATGAGTGATACATATAAAGCTCTCACTGGCGCCAATTGCACATGTGTATTTCGAGCTCTCATTGTCAATCGTGAATTTGGTTGACACTTCTATTATAGAGAAAGGGCAAATAGCAATATTAAAATATTTCTTCTAATTAATTTCCTTTCAATGTGCACGAATTCATACACCGGGCCACTAGTAACTCGTAAGAACTGAAAGAATAAGGTCCTTATCAACTTTATGTAATTATTTCTAGAGATGCCAAAAACACAAGTTGTTTGGTGTGTTTTCTAAATGAAGTAAGTATAATTTATCTATTAAAAAGGTATTTTTCACCCCAAATACTCTGGCAGTGGTTTTATCTTTTAATTTTAATTTATGTTTATGTTAACTTTTGTTGCTTCTATGTCTCAACAACACCTAACAAAGATTATGGTTTTATTCTGCTGTTGGTTGATTGTTTTATCTCTGTCTGAGTAGAATGTAGTGGAGTGAACATTTTGCAAAATCTCTTGGGGAGAGAGAGAGAGAGAGAGAGAGAGAGAGAGAGAGAGAGAGAGAGGATGAAGAAGAAGGAGAAGGAGAAGATGAAGAAGAAGAAGAGGAGGAGGAGGAGGAGGAGGAAAAGGAGGGGGAGGAGGAGGAGGAGGAGGAGGAGGAGGAGGAGGAGGAGGAGGAGGAAGAAGAAGAAAATAATGGAGAAGAAGGAGAAGGAGAAGAAGGGAAGGAAAATAGAACATGATGCCCAGGGCTAATAAGAAGAGAACAGATATCACGTGGCTGATGTTTCTCTCCAGTACCAGCCTCCCATGAGATTATGTTTCCACAGGTTGCTCTGCCATGTGTCCTTCAGAAATACTCTGAAGAGCAAGGGAGGGTGTGTGGAAGGTGTCAACTCATTTTGCCTCTACCTAGTTCCTCTAACTACTCCAATTTTCTCTAGCAAGATCCCAAAACCATGGTCGGCAAACTGCAGCTTGCGAGCCACATGCAGCTCTTTGGCCCCTTGAGTGTGGCTCTTTCACAAAATACCATGTGCGGGCGTGCACGTACAGTGTGATTGAAACTTCGTGGTCCATGCGCAGAAGTCGGTATTTTGTTGAAGAGCCACACTCAAGGGGCCAAAGAGCCGTATGTGGCTAACGAGCCGCAGTTTGTCAACCACTGCCCCAAAAGACCCAGCTATTCTGCCTTTTGCTTAATTTCTCAACCCAGACCATACTGATCTGGGAGGGGCTTCCTGAATATGGCATTTCTTAGCATACTTAAATAAGAGGATTGTTTAGCTAGAATGGAAAAAAGATTCAACCCTCCCCTTAAGGCTGTTCTTCCTCCTTTTTGCCTGGTATAGATACATATTTTTAAATAGCTCTCTCTTTTTTGAGATAATAAAAGTATTACGTGTTCATTGCAAAACTGAGACTGCTTTTCAGTAAGACAAAGAGGTTATTACAAGAGAAATCATTTCAGGAAAATTTCCTTAGCCCCTCTAACTCTAACTAGTTAAATCTAGTATTTAGGAAAAATCGAAGTAATTTAAAATGTAGAGAATTCACTAAAAATCCTATATAATAAAAGCATAGTATACAAATGGTCGCCTTGACCAGGAGTTCGACCAGGGGGGCAGGGCTGGCCAGGGGAAGGGAGGGAGGCCCCAGACGGCAGACGGCAGCCACTAGGGACACTACCAGTGTATGAATTTCGTGCACTGGGCCTCTAGTATGAAATAAAAATGATAACCTTGGTCTCTAAA